GTTCCTTAAATTTAGTTAAAATTAAGGTACATTGAATTGTAAAATGTTTGTTTCTTCATATATTTAAATAACTGAGAAGAGTTTTACCTTTACTGAGGCTGGTAGAAATTTGCCATGAGCTCCAATACGGAATGGATCTCACTCACAACTCTTAATGCTTTCACTTTGTGCAAGAAATGATGTTCTGGCTGTGCTTTGACTTTCATTTTGGCTGCATTTCCAAAAAGCAGAGAGGGGTGAAAAAATAGTATGAGGAAAAGAAATATTTAATCAAACACCCAATCTGACGACAACAACACAGCTAACTGTAATTGTATCTTTTACTAATTGGAAAAAAAAAGGAGATATAAGTGGCTACAGGCCTCAAGTTATTGTGGACACATCCATCCATAGCAAGTGTGTTTAAAAACAACAAAAATAATTAAAGATCCTTTGAAACATACAGAAGAAGGAAAAAGGAATTTGGTTATCTGAGCTTTTCCAAAGGCAAGGAAAATCCTAGATATTTAGCTACACTCAATCAAAATGCATAAGCAAGTCTTAACACAGGGACAGGAGTGCAGTACCCCTTGCTGTCTCTCTCATCTCATCAGTGCTGACTTCTTTATGGAGCAGTACAGCTTCTCAGGGAGGGGCAGAGAGCGTTCATGGGCCCTACTGCCAAGTGAGTAAGGCTTCTGGATTTGGGAAGGTTGTGTTCCTTTCCCTCCCCATCCCAAAGAGAGCATTAAGTTTGTGTTCCAGTTCCCAGACAAATGCGGTAGTGTGTATGTATATGTGTGTGTGTATATATATATATATATATGTATGCTGTGGTGCTGAAGATATGGGTAATGTTGCTGAGAAACAGATCCCATTGTAAATCCCATCTGTTGCTCTTTTCAGGGCATGGGGAACTGGGCGTTCTCAAGGTCTATGCAATAAAAATATATTTTGTTTCATTCCCTCTTCTTAAAAAATGATCATGACTCCAGAGTTGCTGTCCCCTCATTGTGTGTGTGTGTGTTTGTGCGGCTCCCAGAACTTTTCCTGTTGTTCCCACACAGCTGGCTACAGAGTTATACCAGAGCAGTAAGCATAATTGGTTGAGTCACCATCCCTGGAAGCTATTAAAAGACATTTAGATGTAGAGCTTAGTGATCTGGTTTAGTGGAGGACTTGTTAGTGTTAAGTCAGAGGTTGGACTAGGTGATCTTGGAGGTCTCTTCCAACCAAGATGATTCTGTGATAATCAAAAGAAATCATTAAGTCAAAGTTGCTTTTCCTAGGTTGTCCCTCTGTTCCACTCTTCAGCAATTTAACACGTTCATCACTGTTGCTTTTACACAATGCATCCTTGAGTCATCAGGCATGATGGACTGCACAGCCAGGCTTTTCCATCAGAATTTTCAGAAAGCTACACAAGACACATCCGTTCATCACCTCTCTGTTTCTTTCTGTAAGCATCCTTTCGCAGTGCTTGCCTCTCTCCATGCAACAGGTCTGGTAGGTATGTTTAACTGTGGCTCACTTAATTGATGACGTTAATTGAGGCTGCTGTCCTCATTATCCTAAGTTAGATTATGACAGAGTTAGTAACAGGACTTAACTTTTTTTGTAGGAGACTGCACAATTCACATGACAAAATTGTGCTGAACACCATGTCTTTCTGCCATTTATTTCTGTATAGCAAGGCAGTGAGTTCCCAATAGGCTTAAAGACAAGCATAAATCACGAAGCTATTTATGACCTTCCCATTGATTTATTCTCAACAGCCAACAGGTGCCTCGTATAGAATTTATTATAAATGCAGAGAGGCAAAAACAACAACCTTCCAATGAAATATGCCAGGGACAACTTCTAATCCTCTCTGTTTTCATAGCACTGCTCATTCTGAAAAGATGATGAGGGAGGAAAAAAATAAAAGAAACAAAGAGGAATATCCTGAAAGAGTTAGTGCCCCAGAGAGCTACATAATGACTAACAATTCTTTTTTCAAATGCTAAGCACTTCCTTCTCAGTACTGAATGACAATAGAATCATAACTTCATCAAAATTACTTTGAATAGTCTCATTAATGGCACATGGTCTTGGTTTGTCCCTGCCTCAAAGTGCGATAATATTTTCATACCAGCTATTGAATGTGTGTTTAGCTTTGTCCCTCTCATTTGTACAATACATTCATACTTATCAGATCATCTGCCTTTGTGCTTGGATATTCAACAATTCAATAAAAGGTTAACAATAGAAAGGGAGGCAGAAGATAAGATGAAGGCCTATTTTCAGTATGAGCTAACTAAATAATACGAAGGAAAGTGTATTATATTGTGCTGTAGAAAAACAGCCTACTCCATCCAATTCTCACCCTAGAGGATATTTAGAAAGCATGGGCCCTAAATAAGATTTATTGAAGTACAGTCTTGCCTTCATTGTACTGAGTAGAGGCGTTCTCTTCTAAAATAGCTGATTAATAGGAGCAGCTCCCTTAAGAATGGTTGCACAGAGTATTCCTGTCAAGCCTCTACCTTGCATAAATATTTTTGATTAATATATGCCTTCATTGAATATAATAAAAAAAAAATAAGCATTAATGCTCACCAGAGACCCTGCTATTTAGAGTGCTTATCTTAAATTTAATTTCATTTGCAGATGCCATTAATTTATTTCTAATAGGTCTCTAATTTGTTTTTATCTATTTTATGTTCAGCTCTTGCAGATATTATCAGGCTGCGCTTCCTTCAAAGCCCACCAGCTTTCCCCTCCCACCTCCTTCAGGCTTGCTGTTCTCCACAGAGTGTGTTTAAATTAGCTGGACCATTGCAAGCTAAGAGACTGATTAATCTTCAGATGTGCCACAAGATAGAAGTCAACAGCCTAGCTGAGGGACTTGAGGTGGGAAATGGTGTTACTGCTCCAAGTCCTCTGTTCTATTTAGCAAAGCAGCAGTTGTGTCATAGAGGTAAAGTATGCCCTTTAAGTATTTTCTCTTCAAGTAAGTGGCAGTGGGTATTGTTGCACAGCACATAAACCTCTTTTTGTCAGTTTGTATTAACCACAGAATTGACTTGTAAGGCATTGGCACTCAGAGAGAGATATGAATAATGTCCTGTTTTTAACAAAGGGTACATCAGTGCTGCAGCATAGAGGGGAGATACTGGAGTTAGTTTCCTAGAAAACGACACATTTTCAAAGTTTTCTGCTGTCACAGCTCAGTTTTGTAGATGTCTAAGTTGATGGTTTCTCTGCAACTGTAGGAAATGAGATGGCTCCCAGAGCAACGTCTGCTAGCTGCCCTGTTAGCTTGAACTTAGGCAGCATTTTTACTTGGTGCTTGTCTCATTAGTTTTAGGCTTGTGCCTTTGTTTTTCATTGCATATGAGAATACTTTATGGTCACAGTGTGTTTCTACAGGTGTGGTGCTGAGGAAGGTAGGAGATAGGGATCAATCTTCCTTAGCCCTATTTAGACAAAGACTGAAAGTCAAGGAAGGGAAGGATACTTCCCTCCATTTCTGATACTGTGATACAATTCTGATACAGAGGAATTACGTGACTTTTGTTTTTTTTCCAGTCATCCAGGAACTTTAAGGCCAAACATGGAGATCAATCTAGATCTTTTGCAACCCTGACTAGGTCTGCAGTGTAAAACTGTCCTTTGTTTTTCAGTATGTATGAGCGGTAGTTGATATGTTTGCTAAAGAACAGTGCTATAGCCAAGTTTTCTCTGCTCTGTTGCAGTCAATATGTACTGTACTACTACCTCTAGAAGAAATAGAGTGCACATTCAACCATTAAAAGCACAGGAATTGATAACTTTATATTGATCTAAAGAATAAGCTTCTTTAGGGTTCTACCTCACCTTCTAACTGGGAATATCTCTAGATTTAATCTTAACCCCATTTCTTCTAAAAGGGGCTAAAGGGTGCTGGTTGAGATGAAGAGCATGGGATTCCTACCTCCTGGAACCATTTCTGAACTCAGCAAATTTGTTTAATACAAACAGATCTCCTGTGGAGATGATTTTGATGCCTATGATTAGAGGCTAGATATAAACCAGAAACTCATAGAGTCAAGGACCTCTGTTTTCTGGTCAGCCTTCTGACTGAATAAACTGGGAACGTTCATTTATAAACTTTTCTGTTAAGTGGTAGGATGAAGAAGGATATTCATGATGTTTTCAAAGGACAGCTGATGTTCTTTTATTTCTTTGATTTTTGTCTTTTGTCCATATTCTGACCTAAGCAACAAAATACAGGGTCTTAAGTAGGGAGGATCAAGTAATTTTAATAACACCATGCTACCATCCCTCATTATCCTTTTATTGTCTGGCTTAATAACCACTGTGTTAATGAACACCCAAACCATCCCAGTCTCTGAAACTAGTCTGAAGGTTGTTTTTCCAGATGAACCAATTTAAGCCTGATAAGATCACAGCAGGCCTGGGAATAAGGACATGCTACATTTTCAGGAACAAAAGCCTCAAGAGAACATGGATTACATGAGAGAATATTTTTAGACCTCTATCAGTGTACTTGGAAGTGCACAGAATGATAGGAGAACAGGATCCTATCTGATGGGCTGCATACAAGCATGCTCTATTAGGAGGCTGAGAATAATTCACATTTATAATGAATCTGTCATACCAGTGAAGCATATACCTCCTTACAATCACAGTCAATTTCTTATTGTTCAGAGCCTTATGTGGAAGAATGCGTAGTGAGGTTTTAATGTTCACTTCACCTTCCCATTTATGAGACAATCCTCAGACAAGGGGACAGCCTGCAAGCTCTTTGTATGTCAGGTGTGTGAGGTTCTTTCCTTTTTGTTTTTGTTTATTTGATTTTTGCTTCCATACCATTTTTCTCCCCTCCCCCACACCACCCCAATGTGCAAGAGTGTTTCATACCAACATCATTTTTTTTAAGGTATGACTTGCTTAAAGATATTTTTATGAACATATTCAAGTTAGAAAATAAGATGTTTTCTCCAGATATGTTTACAGCCTTTTCTTTGGTCATCTAGTGGTTCCTCCAGGGTCAATCTTACTCTCCAGGAGTGTGGAGGAAGACATCCAGAATGGTTCTTCTATTTAAGGAAAGGTAAGGGTTTTGTGAAGCTAACCTAAGGTCTGTTTGGTCTTCATGCACCTCTTCAGAAAGAGAAAGGGACTACTTCTTCCTGTGACACCAGTCTCTAGGAGAAATCTCATTCACACAGACCGTCTGTGTGACCAAATTTCTGGGGGCGGGGGAAGTAATCTTCACCCAGGTAGGTTTCACTGAAGAACCTGCCAGGGTGTAACCACCATGAGAATCTTCCAAGATCACGTGGTGCCCAGGAATGGGATTCTTGTGCTTTCTCAATTAATCTGAAATAGTTGTGTGAGGACAGATAAAGCAGAAAAAAAATCTATTTATAGCAACCTAATATTAACAGCACAATTACAACAAGCATAGAGATAAGCGTACAGAATGATGGAAAGCCACAATTGCCTCTCCTTTACCATTTTAAATCAGCTTCAGTGACGATGCTCTGCTGAAGCTGCATATTATCTCCACACATCAAAAACCGTGAGGAATTTCTTAAAAGGTAAGCGAATGCCTGGGCTAGACTCTGAGTGACTGTAGAAATTCAAGAGCTCTGGGACTGAGGAGCACTCTCTTGAATTTGCTGTGGCATTAAATGCTCTCTCCATCTGTAGAAATGCAACAGCGGTCTGTTCACTTTCCAGATTGGCAAGTCTCACTGGATTCAACTTAGAACACAGCTGAAATATTATGAAGCAGGAAGAAATTAGGTAAAAGAAGAAATAAAGATGGCAGGGGAAAATCTCCAAATTCAGCCAAACTTATGCAAAAGCAAATTAAAGTGTAACAGTGATTTTAAGAAAGGATTGATGTTTCCATTATGAATACAAATATGAAATGCAGCCTACATTGAAGGAGTTATTGATAATGTTCACCAAAACTGGAATGAGTAAGTATTCATATTGATTCCTTTTATTGGCCATATGACCATCCAGGTCCTCGCAACATCCCACAGTGTTCCTCTCCATAGTGTTCATCCTTCAACACAACTATAGAGAAGGCTTATGGAATGTTGGTCTCCTCTGTAGACAAAGCTAGAAGTTATTTTTGATTGTCAGGTATTTTAAATTTCATCTAGATACCAAGATAACCTTGGAGTATGTTAAGGAGATCTGGCTGTGATCATTCATCTAGAGTGATAGCCTGTTTGTGATGAGAGGCTATGAATCATATCAGCCAGAGACGCAGATGAGTCTCTCTGAAGATGTCATGGAGCTTCAGCAGAACCCAGCAGTATGGATGATTCCCAGCATCCTGTCTCTAGGTGGGGGGGGGGATTAATCTTTTTAGTCATCTTTTTTGTTTGTTTTTGTTTGATTTGTTTGGGTTTTTAATTTTCTTAGTAAGCCACAAAATCATGCACTACAGAAAGAAGCCTGCTGCACTACAGAAAGAAGCCTGCTGCATGCAAGACCATGAAAACATGGATTGCAAGACATGTTGAAAATCTGAAAAGAAATTGGTTCTCAGCACAGATAGTGTTGGTATTTGTTTTGTGAGTCCTTATGTGCAGGGTCTTAGAGAAAACATAAAAGTGACCCTTAGACTATGAGTTCTGTCAGCTACTGGACTAGAAACAATTTACCTGTGTAAATTTACTTCACTAATATAATGTTTTTAATATACTCAGCTGTCATATAAATATGGGCTAGATATTTTTTCTAGTAAAACATTGCCCATTGGTTTCTTTTAAGTGCCACACAAATATTTGGCCATTGACTATAGCAGATGAAAAATCTGCTGCATAGTAGATGCTTTCAAAAAATACACATGGTTATCACAGTAAAAGCAAGATTGTCTTCCTTCCATTTTCAGAAGAAATGTAGTTCTGTTCAGGGTACAGTAAGATTATAAAAATAGCTATACTAATTCAACCCAGGGGCTGATTATGCACTTTTTTGTTTCCAGTTGTTGCTGCAGGCTGATGTATCAGGATGCATGGAACAAAGAGACTTTGGGATTTTGACTGCAGTCGCTGGCACATCCCTTGTCCTCTGCCTGTTCTTTTTCACCACCATGCTGCAAGCAGCAGACCTCCACAGGGAGACTGACCATCCTGGTGGGCTGCTGAGGTCTTCATCCTTTCCCTCGTGCTCTTTAGCAACTTAGTAAACTTAGGTGAAAGACTCCAGGCAAAGACATTCTGCATTCTGCCAAATCAATAAGTTTTTCTACCTTTTTTTTTTTTTTTTTTTTTTTGATTCTGACCTTCACTGGTCTTACGTTTACATTTGGCCTCTACAACGTCAAAGAAAGATTCTCTGTTAAAAGTGAGTAAAAAGGTAAGAGAAATTGATACCTTGTCACCCCACCACAGAGAAAGACTCCTTACTGCAAGTTTGGACTAGGACTCTTAGCTTTCCAATAACACAGTAGCTTTAAAAGAAAAATAAATAGCTGTACCCAGCAGTAGCTGCCCATGGAAGGGGAAGAAGTAGAATAGCATGTATGAGAGTACACATGAGAACTGTCCTAGACTCCAGTTATTTTCATATCAAGGGATATCCTGTACCCAGTGTGTCTGACTGTTTAGTAATCTTCAATGGATCTCTTTAATGACTTGAGTGTGAAAAGCAGTTTTTTAATCGTTTAGACAGTTGTGGGTTTTCTGTTCTTTGTTGTTTGTTGTTGTTTTTTTTTTTTTTTAATTGCAGGGACCTGGCTTCCTTTTGCTTCTTTTGAGGGCCCCAAGTTCTTGCATTAGAAAAGAAAATGAATACTTACTGAATCATCCCAGTAGTTCATCTGCTGCACAGAGTTGTCAGTGAAAATCTGAACCCTCTAAGGTAAGTGACTCTGCAACTTTATTCCTGAGATCCCCCAGGAAGAATGCAATAATTTACAGGGCATTGAACTTAGAAAAAAAAAAAAAAAATATATATATATATATATATATACATATATATATATATATATATATATATATAAAGTAACACTCCTTACATTTTGATTACCTACTGTCCTACTGTTCATCTAATCATATGTCACAGATCCTTCAAATGGGATTTAAAATAAGCACTATTATGGAATATTCTTTGGCTCAGTTTATAACTACATCTTTGGTCCTTAACCTGTGAACTTCACAGGTTAGAGCTTATAATCAAAGCAAACAAAAAATTGCTGTAGCTATTCTATATGGAGCCAAGTTTTCAGGTAGCCACTAGTTATTACAAGTGTGTTAGTTTGTGAATGCAAGAGGCTGTCACGTTTTTTGTAAGAAAACTTTTGATTCCAAATGAGGAAATTCACTTTTTTTTTTTCTGTAGAAATATTTTTAAGTAACTCTAGATATTTTTTTCTTTTATGACAAGAACAAACGATATTTTATGCTTTGCTTCATCATCATCATTCTCTTTCACCTCACAGCACTTTTGTATGACCAACAGCTACATACTGAAGAAGAACAACTATGTGTTGTGATAACAGCAGAAAAATTATTTGATAAATGTTAATTTTGCTTTCTGGTTTTGAATTAGTGGTATTTTTTTCTGAATGTATTTGTTCTTGAGAATGGTTAGCTGAATAACTTTGAGCTATAAGGTCATTTTGAAAACTCTTCAGAGGTGGTAATAGTTTGATGTGATATCTTAGACATCTGATAGTGTTTCTCTTTTCTTAGTGGCTGAGCCATAAAAATTTAAATTATGATTCTAGATTTTATCCCAGAATTCTGCTTATTCTGCCTTTGAATCTATTTTTTTTTGTATGTAAACTGATTTCTATTTTTCATTAAAAAAAAAAAATCTTAATGCAAAACAATCTACTTTCCAAGAAAGACTAAGCTTGTGTACAAATAAATAACTGAAAAGGGAATTAAGACCCCTAACTGCTTTTCAGTTTTCATCAAATAATCTCACCAAAACTATAAGCACATTAATGACAAATTGTTATCGTGTTGTCCTATATTGTTTTTCTACCTGGGTTCTCAAAGTCAACATTTCATATTGCATTGAATGTATTTCCTAAGAGTGGAATGCTATTTTTTGAATCCCTCCCCTAAAGCAGTGCAAATTCCATGAAACACAGAGAATGTGCTACAAATCCAATATATTGTTGCTTTTGGCTAAAACATTTAGAATGGTGAAGTTAGGATTCTTCCATACAGTTTTCTGTGGGCAGACGGTAATGAAGATATGTTGATATGTTTTGAAGAAACTACCACAGAAATACTTGTATATTTCTAACATGTATGTTTTCTATGGAATGTCAGTCGCAAACATGAATGCAGTGAAATTTGAATTTGCATCCATGCAAATATCTGTAAGTTTAGTTCTTCTGTCCATTAATCTGTACTAAATACTCTTTCAGGTTGTGTTTTTTATGTTTGTTCAGTAATGGAGTTGTCCAGAATACAGTCTAATTTATTTTAAATCCTAAAGAACACGGGGCATTTGACTCTGACGGTGTTGATTAATTGTAAATCTTTAAGTCCATTATGGACTAGAAGTGTTCAAATTATTCTTGATGAACTATTGAGTTGATTAATCTTTTTTTCCTTTTCTCCTGTTCCTGAACTGATCAGGTGTGCTATGAATATGTTAATTGCTCAAAAATTCATCTAATGCTTGCTGAAAAAAGAAAACGATTGTAAAGATTTTTTAATGAGCTATTCCCTGCTACTGTTTCTTTAAGTATAGAATATTTTTTCAGGCATCTGATTTGTCTCCTTAGTTGTTTTTTCTTTCTAAATTATGGTTAGATAATTCAATCTGTTAAAATGAGAATAAAACCAGAAACATCTAACCCATGACTTGCAATATTATTTTTCAGCATGGATGATTATTCACTGACTATTTGTGAATCATTTAAACTCATAAATATCTTCAGGACTAAAAACGTTTCTCATGCAGATATGCATATGGAGTTAATAATAAGTCATAAATAATGCGTGAATGAGCCTACAGTGCTTATCAAAAAATATTCATTTTTTTTAACGACATATACATAGGTTGTATAAATAATCACTGACTTAAAGATTCTGGATCTGGTGGATATTTTTTCTGACCTCCTAGGTAGTGTAAGTCGGATACTTTTAACGAGTTGTACTGTACATCTGTCTGCATGTATTCTTGTAATTATGAGTGTAGAAAATATTTAATTTAAAGTAGACAAAAAGCTGGCATAGTAACTGGGAAGGCTTACTGGTTAAAAAAAAATAATAATAATAATTAAAAAAGTGTAACAGTCTTCTTACATTTAAAGAGTGCAGCAGTCATATCACAGTTAAAATTTCCTCCCTATACAAGGTGTGGAAGGGTTTGGGGAGTTTCTTATTCCCTCTTCTTGTAAGATTATGTAGAACCATGATGGGAAGTAGATTCCAGAGAATAGCAACAGTTGTTTCTCTACAGCAAATCTGATTGTTAATGGAAAGAAATGCAAGACAGCCATCTGTTGGATTGCCCAGCAACAAACTTGGCTTCCAGGTCCCAGTGTGGGCAGCTGGTAGCTCAGAAAGGAACAAGTATTGTGCTTACTGCAAGGGCAGATGGTGTTTGTGGCCAGTCTAAATTCAGGCTGAGCAGAACTCCATGAAATGGAAAAGTGTGCACATGAATTTTGGTCCTAGAACTAGTGCAGACCTCTGAGATGTGGGCAAGGTGGTGTCATCAGGATGTTTCTGGTTATAGGGAGGTGTTCTGCATCTTTTCACAAGTTACAATCCTGCGGTTCGACTACGTGGCTAGCTGCCATCAAAAATGATGGATTCAGCACTAGCCTCTGCTTGGGGAGAGCAAACATGCAGATGATCTCAAAGCACATGTTAGTGCTTAACAGGAGACTAGCGTGTCCCTGGACTCATATGACACCTGCCAGTATATATTGTAAAGCACTAGTGAAGATCACAATGATATTTCCTTTTAAAATGATGGGTTTAGTGTAAGATTTGAATAGACACCTTGGATCCTCATGTTTTGTGCATCACTGGCTTTTGTTACAAACATTTTCCAATGTATTGATTACCAAGTGACACAGTCAATAATTGGGACTTTGGTTGTCCCAGGATAACTTAGCCAAGCTGCATGCCACAGCCATTCATGCTAGGGTCCACACCAGTATATCTTCTCTCCTACTTGAGATATTGTGCCAGACTGTCATTTTAAACTGATTTTTTTATACCTGTTCTGTGGACACTTAGGTACACTTAGCTCCCCATGTAAAGGAGTTAAATTCATTCTGCTGTCTCTAGATCTTTTCAGTAAATATAGACAACACAGTGGATATACTGATCCAACCTCAAGTCACAGTCTTCAGTGTAATACTTGGGCATGTTATCACTCCTCTAGGTGACCAAAGAAAGGGGAACTCCTGATATGTTGCCATGGCCTGGGTGTATGGGAAGGCATTTTGTCATGCCTTTCCCATATAGCTGTTGTCACTATCCATTACAGCTGCATGTTGATACTCAGGACCAAGCCCCAAACCTCTGAATTTGATGGAAATATCAGTGTTTAGTTGTTGTTGTTGTTTTAATCTGAAATTTTATCTGAAAGTGATTTATTTTGAGAGTTCCCTGGCTTGCCTGTTTTATGTTCTTGTCCCTGCTGAGGCCAATTATACTTAAAGCTGAAAAAATTGAGCCAGTATTGAAAATCACACCCTACATGTTCCTCTGAGAACAAAGAGATTGAGTTTCAATTAAAAATTAGAGAGAAGTAAAAGGTCACTTGTTAATGCCAATGTAATATAAGATGGCTGTAAATTAATTAAGTTTGTTTTGCTGTGTTTTTGTTGTTTGTTTTTTTTTTAAAGTTCTGTCACATGTTCTTTTGTAGGTCAGTGAAATCACCAGAACTGGTAACATCCAGTGGTTGTAAAAGTGCAAGGGGAGAGGGACAAGGTGTTTGAACCATAAGAAAGGTATTTGAATAAGTGGCTAGGCTAAATAATGGAGTAGAGAGCTATACTGTTTGGTCTGCACTAACCATTTGTTTGCAACATTTTGTGGCAGAGCTCCATTGTGAATATTTGATACATGTGATTGATTTGGTGGAGATATTCAAACTGTTTGCAAACACAAGGATTTGGTTATTGCATTCCACGTGACAATCATGAGTCTTGCATTCTGAGTTCTTGTTTGTTTTTTGATTTGTTTGTGCTTTGGGGTGTTTTTCTATTTGGTTGGCTTGGGGATAATTTTGTTTAGACTATGACAGCTTCTGCACATAGATTGTGGTGCCTCTATCCAATGTGTTATCATCAGAAAATTAGTATTATGTTCTGAAGGAAGGTTCAGCTGATACTGAACTAATACAGCTGGAAGGATAAGGCTACCAGCTGGGGTGGGCCAGCTCATTAACCCGGAGGTTGCAAATTTTGAGAATTGTAAATTATAAATTTTGTAGCTGCTAGCAGAGAATCCAATTTACTCTTTGATATGACTATATGTCCTTGATACCCTGATATATTCACAATATGTATTGGAGGTAAATCTCATGGTCTCAGTACAAACTGTTCATAATTTGGTTGGAAAGGCATTCCAGGCTCAGTATATGCAATAGTCAGAGTGGAAGTAATTAGTGTTTCCCACTTGCAAATGACAAGTCTTCTCACCCGAGCACAGGGCCCCAGGAGAACGTAAGAAAAAGGTTATGGAGTTTCAGAGGAGATACCTGGCAGATTGTGTGCTGTTTTGAAGAAAGGCTGGCCTTTCTGCTATGTAAGGTTTATTTTTGCTTAGTCAGCAAACTGTAATGCAATGGTCTAGTCTGGTTCTGATTTTATGTTATATTTAATATAAATTTCATGACTTTGCTTCCATTATAATCTATAAAGCCTGTTTGTTTTTGTTTTTGGTTTTTTTTTTGGTTTGGTTTGGTTTTTTGCTTTAATTTAAATGACCTGGTTTTGAAATTGCTGACTACTGCTGTTTGGAGATGCTTACAGAATCTCCTGGGGAACTTCAGAGGAAGGCACAGGTTGTATCTTACATAAAGATTTCAGTCTCTGAAGTAATCTGGAGTGGGATATGTAAATGGGAACTGATGTATCGGTTTGTGTTAAAGGCAAGGGAAAGGTAAATCAGATTCAATAGAAGGAGGTAAAATCTCTGGTATGTGTACTGAAAGCAAAAGAAAACCCCTCAGAAATTTGGAAGCAAAGCAAACCCTTTTTTAAATGGGACAGAACAATTTCCCAGCAATTCCTAATATATTGGATCATTTTAAAACCTTCTGCAGGTTTTGCCTTTGACCCCAAAACTGAAATAGAGGAAGGTTTTGCCTTCATTGCTCAAGACAGATGAGTTCATTAGAGCACGATAACAAATGTGGTTTATGTCACTACAAATGCGAAAGAGGAAGATTCAGGCAAGCATTTCAGGTGCTTGCCTCTGGCTAGGTATGTAAGGCCAGTGCCTTATTCTTATCTAGGTACAGCCTTGCTGCTTACCTTGCATTAAATTAAACTGACTACTTGTCCTCACTATGACTGAAATAGCTTTTTTTTTGTGTGTGTGTTAGTTACCCTGAGGTGTGTAAAAAAAAAAAAAAAAAAAAAAAAAAAAAAAAAAGTCAGGGTAACTAAGACACCTTAGCTTTCCTGAAATAAAGCCTAGTGAAGGCAAAACACTTTGCTTTGAGATCAGCACTATTCATCTGCCTAAGGTTGGCTTAGCTGAATTTATCTCACAGTAAAACTGAAGTACACTGGCATTATTTTTTTTTGTTCGTTTTGATTGTTTTTTGTTTTGTGGGGTTTTTCCTTCACACAACTTCATGTGTGTGCTGATTACCCCAGCAGAAATGTAATACATCTTGAATACTGATTAAATTGTTTTAACCACAGAATTCCTAAGTTATGCTAGCATGGAGATCACAAAGTTGATGGTACAGTACTTATCTTAGAAGTAATTTATCTTTTCCCATAGGCAAGCAATCTTCCTCCTTTTCCTGGCTCATAACTCAATTGTGTATTTCAACGTGACTCACTGGCATGTGGCATTCTGCTGTTCTCCTGACCAGATGCTCAGGCTTAGTTACTTCTAAAGCACTCATCCAGCTGTGGGCTTCCTGTGCCACTGTCAGCTGCTCTCCACTGAAGCAGGTGTACATAGGAACTGTATTTGAAATTTCTGCACAATTCTTCCACCCCAGAGTGGCAGCCTGAGATTTTTTGATTTCTTACTCTTAAATAGGACTCAATAACCCATGATTCTTGTTTGTTTCTATTCCCTGTCAAATGTAAGTTTACAGTAGATGAAGCTCCTGACCCTATTCCTGTGCAACTCAATGTCTTCATTTTGCTGTGCATTGGCAAAAAGTCTGAATAATATTTTTGCACGTCCATTGAAAATAATTTAATTCTTCTTCCATTCCCATAGCACCCAGAATTTCCTAACTATACTGATAAAGAAGTTATAGCAGGATATTTTAGGTGCTAATGTTGATTGATTTATCTTGATGTATTGTGCTTTCCTAACTTGGAAACATCTCTCTCACCCGTTTTCCTAAAAATTCAGCTGTGTACTCATTCTTCTCTGATCCTGGTCTTTGAAATGTTCCAATGATTTCACTTAAGTTGCTTCAAATGCCATTAAGGGAGCTACAGGATTATAAAACTTTCTAGCATATACATGTAGATTCACTCTATAATATCACAAGGATGACTGTAATTTTGAGGTCAACAAAATGCACGAGTTTTTTCTGCTCAAACAACGTTATGGTATTTCTAGAGAACATCTTACCTGTAAGGTTTTTCTCTTTACTAAGGAGGGTGGGGAAGTTTGAGTTTCCAATCCTGTCCAATACAGATTAGAAAGGAAAAAAAAAAAAGTGAAAATCTTATGTAAGTATGAAGTGAGTTGTACTTCCTACACTTAAAAGTAAAAACAAAATTTATCTTCTTTCAAAAAGTTTTGTGTATAGATTTGATTAGATGTACTCTTGCAGTAGCATCAATCTGTGGAAAAAAATGGTAGTTCGGCTTCTGCTTGCCTGAATTTTGGTTTCCGGGTTAAGCATGTGCTTGCAAAATCATAACCACATTTTTTTTTTAATAAATTGGCCCAATTTCCTGCTAATTGTGTGATTACCCCAGAAAATGAACTGTGATTTGTATGTTCTGTGATAGATTTGTGACACTTTGCTGCTAAAGGCATTCAAACAGTCGATAATTTGACCCAAGATATTTATTTATTTATTATGTTCTATAAATCACTCTTAGTATTAAGGATGCTCCAGTAATTGAAGACATATGCTTGAATTACTAGTATCAAATCACAGTGTTCAAAATTAATCCACCTTCCAGCTGGCACAATCCATGCCAAGGTAGAAGTTAAAGCCAACATAAAAGATTGTGTGCAAATGCGTGTGTCCTTTAATTTTAAAATATCTAGGTGCATTTATGTTATGCTGTCTATTTTCAGGCCACTTTAAACTGCAATTACTATTAAAGTATGAACTGAAATGGGTATGCTTTTGGCTTTTGAAGCGTGTCTATGTGTGAACAGGCTGTAATTCAAAGACTTGCTAGCCACTGATGCTTGCTATCTGTGCAGCAGCAGATCTGCAGTTGCCACCCCGACACCACTTTTCACCACTTCTCTGGCAAAAGGAATTGTGACTCAAGTCACTCAGGATATTATGTTTCTTCACCTGCAAATGAATACTTCCTCTGTTGATTTTAGATTTCACCCAACTGCTGTGCTGAGCCAGCTGTATTTTCTCACTCAATTTATAGCACATAATGTGACCCGCATTTCAAAGCTAAGCAATGTAAGCTAAGATCATGTTCTTTCATGTCTGCTTTACTCTATCCTTTCTCACACAGAACTCCACCTGCCTGTGTTCAAAATTTGCAAACAGCAGTATTTTAGCATGCTGCATAAGTCTGATAGATCATACAAGCAAGGTTCTCAGTTTCAGTACTGCCCAATTTCACTGGCAGTATAAAAAAAGCCTCAAAGAAGATGGAAATACGTGTGGGGAGTATGATGCAAATTTCCTGAGAGATTTTTCTCAATGGTGGCTTTTTCTCAGTGGCTACTTTAGGCTTAAGTTCTTTTGAGTAAAAGTGTTTTATTTGGTATCGGGTTCCATCTAGCCGTGATTAGCAAGAGCTTTTCTGAATGATTCAGATTCTGTCTGCAATGTTCACCCTTTAGAGTCCTCATATGCAGTCAGATTATGCAGTATTGAGACTCCTCAAATTTAAATCAAACACTGAAACAGTCTCTAAATGGCCTTGCATTATCAACAAGAAGTTGACATAAATCCCTTTTGCCCCTTCCCTGCAGAGGAACTGAACATCTGTAACTCAAGAAAGGCTTTTGGCAATGCCTAAGGTATCAGGGTTGCTGTGCCAAGACTGCTGTGACTGCTGCCTTTGTTTCCTTTTGGAAAATTGTAGTTTCATCAAAATAGTAATTTCTCTGCAGATCTATTACCATCACAAATATACTGTTGACAGATATGTTTGTAGAAGTTTCCAAAATCAATGAATTGATTTGTTTGCATTTTCTGGCTTACTTCGGACTTTCTCATTTCCTTTTCTTTTCTTTTGACAGCATACTATGCCATATTTTCAGCTTTAATATCATCAAATTATTAAAGGCATTTAATAAAGCATTACTGGTCTGTTTAGTATATCAAGATATTGATTTTTTTCCTAAAATTTAGGGGGGAAAAATGTGTAAAGTCAGACTATCCAACAAGATGGAAATTCTGTAGCTGCTTTAATGTTTCCATCTGTGCTTTTGAGTTTCAAGGGCCTGATTCAGTGCCCACACAAATAAATGGGAGTCTTTCTGTGGAATTAAATGATTTGGGCTCAACTTTAAGACCAAGGAGTTTTCAAACCAATTATAGAGGCCAAGAGTTTTTGTCTTTCTCTTTTAATTTAAAATATTCCTGGTGCTGTGTTTTATGAAAACCCAACTGGCAGGAGGAAATCTATGTTGAACATCCACATTTAATTTAACGTGAAAATGTGAGGGCTCCTGGTTTATATGTTGACTCCTAATTATGTCAGATATTTAGTTTAGTGAAATCTGCCATGAGCTATTAGGCTATAAGGCTCCAATGCCTTATTACTGGATCTCCACAAACAGTGAACTCCCGATTTTATTGAGGGAGAAAAGCTCTCATCATCCACCGCTTTCTGAAGTTGTTCCTTCTGCAAATGACATACTTTGCAGTGAGATTCGGAGATCAGGTTACTGTCAGCTAAATGCAGTTCTGTTTATCACTTCTGAAGAATATTGAACCAGTGTCTGGTAGGAAGCTTTGGTGCATATAGAATTGAGATGGAGCACAGATGTGACATACTGGTCACACATTAAGATTCAAGTCTGGCTGTTCTGGTGGCTTTGTGTGTGTGATGCCATTGTCAGTTCTGAGCGCTCCAACAAGTTCAGGTTGCCACCACAAATACTACAGGACAGGAGGCCAGCTCACCTACTCTACTACACCTTCATGAACCTGTCTATTGAAAGTACCACGCATAGGAGTGAGCAGAAATTCTGCTGTACAAAGTGCTGCTCCTGTGTCCATTGCTTATGCCCCATCCTGTGCAGCTGTAATGGGGGCCTGTTGTTTACTCGGCTGTGCCTCACTCTGTGACACCGTGAACAGAGAGGGAATAAAGCCTGTCGCTCCTCGACCATTCAAGATAAGCACAGAATCAAGCTTCATCTTTTACTTTATATCTTATGTCACCTGAGTCAACAAATGTTACTGTGGATGTAGAAAAGGGAGCTGATGGCCCCCAAACAGAAGTTTTTCAGAAAGGTACTACACACAACCCATTTTCTTGCAAACCCATTGGTACATTGTTGAAAAAGGCACAAGAGATTTTGACGATTCACACTGTATTCCATGGCTGCCATTGCACTGTATGTAGGTAGAGTTGCTTTTCTACAGTCTCTGGTAGATACTCGAGTAGATTTTTGGGTTGCCAGCTTCTTTCTGCAGATAGGGAAACTAGGCACTTGTTTCTTTCATTCTCAAAGCCCATTAGCCCTGAGCACAGTTCTCAGGGTTGTTTAGGCTATCTTCACAAGACCCAGGTGGTTTTCTTTTTTTGGTTGGTTGGTTTGTTTTTATCAGTTTATTTTTTAAATAATAAAGAATGGTATTTCCACTTAAGAGGCTCTCAGAGTTGCTGCTAATAAGACTCCTAGATAAAGATGGAAGAGTTTGCCGTAGGCACAAACCCTTGGGAGAAAATCTTGCTGGACTGAAAACTCTTTTTCTCTCCTGTCCCACCCCTTTTTTTCTTTTTTCCCCTCTGTGGCCCAGGTTGGCACATTCAAAAGATTTCTAATCATTTTCTACCCTACTGATGAAGATTTAAGTTCATGTGCTCCCCACACCTTAGGAATCATGTATTTTAGGTGGTTTATTGTGAACTTGGCAGCCATAAACTTTTTGACAGTAGTTTTTTCCTATTTCAAACGTTTTCTGCTCTATGATCATAAATGATATTTCATTTATAAAGAAAGAATGAGGTGAATGTTTTGTGCTTTTTTTTTTTTTTTTAATAAAATCTGGAGAAATTTCTGAAGAGCTGTAAGATAGAAACAGGATTTCCATTGGAAATAACTTTTTCTGCGAGCACTTATCTTGGCTTGTACGCATTTTCACCTCACCTTCAAAAGAGAATGGTGATACAAAGCAAAAATTATCCCAGGACACCCTTAGAAATTACTTGGTTTACATCTTGAAAGAGCCTGTTCCTTGTCATGTCAACATTTATTGTTTCAGAGCACTAGCGCTTCTAGGCACGATTTCAGGACTGTCATACACATTTAAAGCCATCAGAGGTCAGTACAAGCTCGTTCATCTGAGCACTTCTAAAGTATTTTATTCCTCCAGTCATAACAGGTTTTTGGTAAAGATGAAAATAAGCCTTCATGTCTGTATCATCTTACTAAATAAAAAGATTCTTGGGAACTGGAAAAAGCTAATAAACACGAAGTGTACACTTACGCTAATATCTTGATACCATGCAGTGTGTCAGAAAATGTTCCATTTCCAGTTTCTACTGGTTTGGGGAGTATAACTTAGTAAGTGCCAGAAAACCGGAATAAGTGAAAAAGCTATACCAAGTGCTTTTCCAGACTTTGTTTAATGTTTATGCCTTAATGAGATCTGCTTTGTCATTAACCCTACTGGATATGAAGTTTAAGTTTGAGTGAGCACCAGGACAGCTACAGCAAAGAGCCTACACTACATGGTGTGGTGTGCTGTTTTAGTGTATATTACTTGGATGCATTGGGAGGGGGGGAGGGGAAGCACTATATTTTATCTAAATAATTTTCAGATAAAGAGAATGAATTTTTGAAGCTTATATTCTCTGAATTTATAACTGATTTTACTGTATGCTATATTTATTTCAACAGACGTGCTATGAACTGCTAAAAATGAGAAATATAACAAAACTCTGAGGAGCAAAACTCTGAGGAGCAGAAGATTCAGGAAGTTCAGAAGTTATTTTCCAAAAACAATACTTAATTCTGTATCCTTCTGCATCTGTTTCACTATATTTTTTTCCTCAGAGGAACGTGAATAAAATTGTATTTGGCTGTACTGTGGGAGAGTGAAAGACAGACAGTGAACCTGGTGGCTTCAGTCCCTGCTGCATGTAAGGGTTGAGACACTCTGTAATGAGTCTGGCAGAGAATGAATTTGAAATTGTCTCCCACTGTAAAAATGGGCTATCGATTACGGAATCTTCTCTCTCTGGAGCCAAAATTAAAATATAAACAAAAATTGATAACTACAATGGGTATAAGTGTTTGTTTAGGAAAAAAAAAAAAAAAAAAAAAAAAAAAAGAAACTTCTAAATGAATTTGGTTTTGGCCCAAAAGAAATATTGAAACAGAGAAAAACTCTGAAAATATGATTATAGTTCCCTGGACAGTAGAAATTATAATGTGAACTGCTTCCTATCTACAACTAAGCTATGAAAATAAAATGCAAGTGTAGAAGGTCAGTTGTAAATGAAAAATGTGATTTATTAACTTGATTGTATTGGGGGAGGAAAAAAAAAATTACCAAATGCTGCACACCCAGAATTGCCAAGGCTTTGGGTTCAACATAGATCTCACAGTACTGGTTGTTTATCTGTGAAGTTCCCACAGCCATTTGTCATCTGAAAATTTGTTTTCATTAAGAGAACGTGTTGTTGCCTTTGGGCCATGAACATATGAAAATACAAAAAGGTCTAACTCAACTATTCCTATACTGTCACAAAACAAACAAGTATAAAGCTAGGTTTACAAAGTCCCAGTGTTTCAGCAGGAAGGGCTACAGGGAAGGAAGGGAAAAAAATATCATGAGACTATCAATAAAACTGTGACAGTTGACAATGCTGAGTGCAGAAAGAGAATCCACTCAAAATATCTAGCTCAAATGGGGGTCCAGTAAACAGGAGACATTTTAAGAGTGCCAGCTTTGAACTGACTAGGCAATCTTCGTAGTCCTGGTGAATGATTTAGCAAATCTTGGTATTGCCCATCAGGACCATCATCATGTCTGCCCTGAGGTCTAAACAAAAATTTAAACAAGGTAGCATCCTGACTTCTGTCTCTACACCAGCTAGTGTTCTGTATGAACAGTATTGGTGTATTGGTGTTATCTCAGTAATAATTAGCTCTTATATTATTACAAGATAGCAAAGCAACTTGGATTTTATTGAACAGGATGCTCAGGGACAGAGGCACGCTGTGAGTTCTTCCGGAGGCTGACAAACCTAGAAAGAAGACTCTCTAGAACCCAAGCTCTAACTATGTTTAATGACCATGATTTGAAATAGGAGAAGATAAAGAGAAATATTATAAGAATGGGCAGGAATTTTACTGTGTCTTACAAAAGCTGTTCTCAGCCTTACAGTTATGTTATGAGCAGCTGTATTGATTTGAATGGAAATACTTGAAGTAGTATAGCTGTGTAAGTATGAAATTGTGGGAAGGCTGTGATATTTGCAAGAAGAGCTTTTGGTATTCTGGAAATGACTACAGTTAGATAAAAAAGACTCAATGCAAAGGTGGTTTGTGTTATTAAAAAGTCATGATTGTAAAGTCTACTAACAACTCTAATTGAGCACATATGTAAAAGACTAATTTTATTAATGATTTGCTTGCTGTTCTATGCTACATGAAATCCTGTATTTCTCTTTATTTATACTACTTCCTAAAGTTCTTTAAAGCATTGCCCTAACAACCATGTGGAAGGTTAGTCTGAAATATTCTGTTTTTGACATCTGGATGGCTGTGTCATTTTCTTGTCTAGTTTCAGAAAGACACGGTGAATTCAGCTAGAGAGAATACAAACAATCTCTAACTAGGCCTAAATAGATTCTGGTCTGAGTCTTTAAAAGTGTAAGTCTGAGTCTGGACAGAGTGCCAAAAGCCAACAGAGCTCTGTATATGTCATCGCAGGGCAAGGGTTATGCCTTCCTGCAGAGTTATCACAGATTTTTTTTTCTTTTTTTTCCCTCGAGTTTGTTTTTACATGGTAAAACCTAGCTTTATGTGTTTGTGGCTTTGTCTTAAACATCAAACTCTGGACATGGGCAATACTGAATGTACTGCTACAGCAAGCATTATGTTTTCCGCTCTTGAGGAATTGTGGTTAAGTCAGGGAACTTTTCAGAGAGGTCCTTTAGTCAAACCCAACTCCATAAGAGAGTGCATGCTAGAAGAACCCCGATCTCTCTGAATAAAACTGTACTTATCTAAGATCTGATGATTTAAGATTAGTGGTGTCTCCAGGCCTCAGAAATCTAGTAATGAGGATGTCATTTTTACACTGTTTTAAAAAGGGGTAAAAACAGTATCAGAACTTGGTAATTCTTATGCAACAGGGAGTAGCACATACTCTACTACTGATTTGTTGAAGAACTGCCTTAAATTCTATGATTCTATAAATAACATGTAGCAGAGGCAGTAAGCTAGGGCAGGTGGCACCTGGGACAGTAAAATGGCAATGGCTTGGCTTGGCTTGGCTTGGCTGTCTGCCTTACCAGAGCAAGACATTTGGGGAGCTAAACGGGCTGCTAGAAGCTAAGAGGGCCTGGAGCACCACAGTTGCTCCTATTTATTTCACAGAAGTAGAATAGTGCAACCCATTCTCCAGAATGCCAGTTCTTTATCCCTGCTCCACCCCTTTCTACACACCTTTTTTTCAGTGAAAACGGATTCTAGCACCCTTCCCTGCTGAGTATTCAGTTTTGCCTCTCCTAATGAGAAATATTGAGTCATCTCTGTTCTATTTCTAGCATGTTTTCATCCACTGAAGAGATGGAAATGATATGCAAAAGAAAATGCATTAATGCTGCGCTAAATCCATGATGTCAGCTGCTGTTTGCCAGCTTAGTGAACAGCAGGTGAGGAAAGAAACTTTTAAAATAAAACACTGTTTTAGATGTCTGTTAGCTGTAAAGAAAACTCTGGAACTGAGGGACATATACCAGTGTCAGAGCAAGCTATAGCTGATAATTTACTAGCTTGAAATTTTAAGCAACATTTACAAAAAAAAAAAAAAAAGTGTCACATGCTGAAAAGGTTGCTTGGAGATCCAAGCTGCTAAAGATAGCTGGAGAAGTCATTTCCCAAGCTAAGGGATGAATGCACGTAGCTGATGAGTGGAATGAGGCCTGGTTAAAAGTGCTCTAAGTGCTCTTGTTTAGTCTTCTCCAGTGATATTATAATACGTGCTTCTTTGTTTGCCACGGGGACTTGTTTCAACAGAACTATAGTGACTAGAAAATGCAACACTTGATTCCAGTTCTTTCTTGAGGTCTGTCAAACTTACCTTGCATAATGTAACAATTAAAGGTCACATGGAATATAGGAATGAATGAATGAATGCCATAGGACAGAAGCTTTGTTTTTTCAGTGTCCTTGTGCAACATGCAAAAAGCTCCAATCATAAATTTGCTTCCTGTAAAAATGTGAACATATTTAATGAAAAGGCCATGACTGAAGTTAATACATTGAAAGAGAACTTGCTGTTTTGGAATTCCTTCAGATGATTTTATTCTCTGGTTTATGTACTGGCTTTGAGCTGAATCTTGGACTCCTAGCTCCTGAAAAATGGCATTATTTTTGGAACACCAGGGTTTGTTCAGCTTCCTAAAGCTTCTGTAACAAATTCAGGGTGTTTCAGACTTATGCAGTAAATCTGAAAAACGAATATCCCCAAGTCAAGAACTGAAACATATTTTTGTTGTTTTTGTTTAAATAAAGTTACAGTGCAATTAAATGCAAGGCTTAAACGAATCTCTAAAACCATCTTTTGCAGAACTTTGTGGATTTAAAAGATTTTGGGATCATTTTGCAATATTGCCCCATCTACAAATTGAGACCAGTTTCTAGGATGAATTTGTAAATTCTCATTCGACTCTTATCCTCCCATCTATCCCATGATACCTCTGCAGAGCTTCATTGACTTGAGAGAAGCACAAAATTGGGAAAGGACTACAGTTAAAACAAAATAGCAACTAGATCACAAAGCCATGGATGGAGCAAAACTCTCAAAGTTCAAAAGAATTTCTGCCAAAGTGAAAATATACCAAATTTTATTTAGAAAACCTTTTGAAATTTTATAGTAGGTAAGTAAGATGAACAGTAACTTGATTTCTTCTGTCTGTTTGAAATAACTGTCAACAGTAGTAAACTATCATCAGACTGCTGAAGGACAAAATCTTAGTTTTCATAAGGCAACCTACCTACTGGCTCTTTACCATTATGATTGATAAGCAACACAGACATTTTTTCTCTCTTAACATATATTTCCCTAAGAGAGAATGGACAGAACTGAAATAATGAATAGCAAAAATACAGGCAATAACAACAGGAAATGAGACTAAAGTTAATCCGTGTATGGAGTCACGTTTAACACAGTCTAATTCTATGCTACGTCTTGAAATGATTTGTTCAATGGCAATGGGGAAGGCAAATAATTTATCATGTCACTAAGTTTAGTAATGCTAATAAAGAGGTGTTGGAGCATAACAACTATTTGGGTAAGTAGTTCTATTGACTTCACTAGGTCTAATCACATGAAGAGCTTCATTGAATGAGTAAGAATTGCAAAACGTAGCTATTTGTTGTTAGATCAAAAAATATATTTTGGATATTTCACAATGCTACTTTCTTTTAAACTGGGTAGCATTACTAGTCGTCATCTGAGCCTGTATAAATCTCACACTTCTGGAAGCACTGAACAATTACATTATGAGAACAATGAACAATAACCTCTAGGCTTTGTGTGAAATCCCTTTGTAATTTCCTGCTCAGAAACTAGGCTTTGTGTGAAATCCCTTTGTAATTTCCTGCTCAGAAACTGAAATTTCATCATTAAATATATGTTAATGCTACATTTTTTGGATGAGTTTTGTTACTAATACTGAGGAGATTTGTGTTCTTGGTCCAGTATCAGTTATCTTAATGTTTCAGATGTTTGTAGCTAAGAATAACTTACCTAGATTGATTCGGTGATGACCCAGAGAAGGAACAGATGGCATAGAGTAGTCCCTGCTCCTTTCATTACATCAGCAACTGGAAATGATGACGATACCACACTGGCTTATTCCAAATTACGGAGACCAGTGAACAGACTAGCCTGACTGGCAGGAGATCTCGGAAAAAGAGACTCAAGTCTGCCTTGGACAGCTACAGAGGTTAAATGCCTCTGGATCACGTTGCTGATGAAAGAGGTCAGTAGAGAAATGGCCCAAGAAAGAAGTTTTGCAATCACCTTGGTGTTTGTAAAGTTCTTTCACCCTTTGGCTTGGGTGAGTTACTCTATTGACTTCACTGTGTCTAATCACGTGAAGTGCTTCATTTAAGGAGTAAGAATTGCAGATTTGACTTTATGATCATTATGATCAAGTACTAGGTAAGAATGTAGTAGTGGCATGATACTTGTATGTGGAAGAAGCTAGAGCAGAAGGATATACTAGACTTCCTGGTGCTTACTGCTCTATTTTTGCAGTAGAATTCTGGTTACTGCGATATTCTTTTTGTCTTGGTCAGGTTTTCTGTATTACTGTTGATTTTGTCTGACTATGACATTCCAGTAAGTTTGTTTTTTCTTTTTGTACAGTGGGATAGAGACAGAACTGTATCCACTGTGCAATTTATGAAGTCTTAATCCTTACAAAGATATTAAATTGTCAGGTGCCACAACATTTCTTTGGTTTGTGTACAGATTCCGAAGCAGATATGTGTGCCATATAAAAAAGAAATTCCAGCAATTGCCTAATGTTATGAGAACTCACAGCTGATTGACATCTCAATACATACAGAGAACAAAATCTGGTAATGTTGCTTAAGGAACCAGGGAGACAGTATTTTCATGTGCATATGGCTTGCAACCATTTTCATTTTGTCTTATTGTACGTAATGAGAGAATAAAGAAGGGCATAATTTGTAACTAAGGAAAAACAAATTTTGTTCCAAAAGAAAGGAAACTTGTTGGGATTTTTTTTATTTGGGCCTGTGGTACAGATTGTTATAGACCACCAAATACAAATTTTTGTTATGAGTTATTTATTGGTATGAGTCTTTATGAAGTTTCTTCTGTGGCTTGGTGAACATGTTTTTAACAAGGGCATACTTACGGTTTAGAAGGAATGAAAGTATTTACAATGCTGAGATTTCAAAAAGCAAAATGAAAAGAACCTTTAAAATGTGTAAAATTGTTTGTTTGTTAAATAAAAAGTGAATAATATTACCCATTTATTTTTTTCAGACTGGAAAGTGAGATTTGAATAAACTTCAGATCACCCGCTTTCCGAGTGTTTTACTCTTGACTGCTCTATCAGTGTTGAGGTAATTTGCCAGAAGACCACTTGCCCAATGAGTGGAAGAAGGTAAGCTCATAATTCTTGTACTTCTAGAGGACTCTACTTCATCATTGTATTTAGCCTAGATTGCTAATGTGAGCACTATTTAATATGCTTGCTACTAAGTGTATGAACAATTCCCCAAATATTAGAGTTTAACCCTTTACCCAACATAGTAATTTCCAATACTCTTTCCCCACAAGTACAGCAGCTTACATGTATATTGTATTTCTTCTTATTACTTGAGGAAAGTTCCATCAGCCCATCTGAAAGGATCTTAGTTTATATGAGCCACTCCCTGATCTCAATAGTTAGCAGAATTATTTGAAAACAAATTCAGAAAAAATATCACTCCTGAAAATTCTAAAGTAGTGCTTGAAAAATATTGCAACAAGATCTGTGCTGCTAAGTATGATTTTGGGGGTGATGGAACTTAAATTTTGGTCAGGAGGTTCCAAGCTTTCAGTAACAAGAGAATATTAAGCTCTAATGGGTTTTGCATTAGTGCTTGAAAATGCAACCCAGTTGCATCTGAAATTTTTGGACTAAAAATCATTATTATTTTAAACATACTTTATGATACTTCCATCATTAATGTTGGCTGTATCCAGTAATTCAATACAACCAATGGTAAAATAATTTTTAAATCAACATAACTACTGAAAATGGTAAAGCTAAGTAGGTGTTTTCAGAGGAAAGTACAAATGCACTGGATTTCCATTGATCAGGCTATGATAATGGCAGGCTTTTAATACAGAGAACAGGTGGTCTGAGATTTCAGTTTTATGTTAAAAATAATAAAAAGGGAAATAAAAGAATTTAGAAGCTTCATTTCTCAAAGGAAATATTCAAAATCTGTGGGTACGTATGAACTTTTAGAGCATATTAAAGATATTATATACTATTCAGCTTATGAACACTGGAAAAAAAAAGGAGATTATGGAAATAATGGTAATAACAGCAAAAAAGCAGAGGTCTTTATCATCAATTTTGATATATCAAAACAGTTCAGGCAGATGTATCACCCCAAGATTGACCTCCAAAATTATCCATAAGCTTCACTTGGCTGCCTGGATGCCTGATGTTTTTTCTACGCAAAACTTAGTCTTCGGTATTTAAATGACCAAGTTAGTGCAGACATAGGCTATTTAAGGTGTGCACTGCTGATTATAAACTGAAAAACTGGGTGTACTTTATAAATTTTATCTAAACCCTGTCTTGAGTGGTAGGTTTAATCATTGATGGTGCTGGAATAGAAATCGAACATTTTAAATGTATGATTTCTTTATCAATTCAAGAACAACATCCAAAATGACGTGCACATGCTAATACATGAAATTTAGGTCTGGTTATAGTGTGCCTGTTTGTCATCTTTTACTGATATACAATAAATCATCTATGGATTTATTAATCTCTTTTTTCACAAGTCCACTACATTAGTAGTTAGAAATTGAATATGTTGGCCATGACTGGCAATTTATTTACACTGCTGTAACTCCACTGACATGTAGCAACTTAAGCAAATAATGTATTACTACAGTGCAAGAGAAGAATGAGATTTTTAACCCTAACTGAAGAACGAATCACATCTGAGAGTAACAAGAAATATGCTGAATTTATCTAACAGTTACGCATTAAGTGGTAAAAGAAAAAAAAAAAAAAAAAGAGAGAGAGAGACAGTACACCTAAGCAAAGATCTAGCCATCCAACAATAAGGTGATCTGACATCTGAACATATAATAGTGTTCTTCATAACTCATGTGCATAAAACAGCTGGAATTAGTTCATGTATCACCATTTTACCCCACTGTATACTAAGGTTTCAGCACATCTCCCTGTAGCAACTGGAACATTCAATCAAGTGTGGGTTTTACAGAATGCAATATTAAAATAAGAAATACTATGTATAACATGTTTACTTTGGGATTTTTAGGTATGTCCATTGCAACTTGGGAGTACTTGGGTCATCAGAGTGACGGTCTGGCAATCCATGAGGTAATGTTTGCTTTAAATTAACTTAATTAGTACATACAGCTAGCATAATTCTGGTTGCACTGATATCAACAGCAAAAATCCCTGCTGCAGTCTATTCTGTTTTTCAATTAAAGGTAATTTTTAGTGTTACATAAGCACCTGGAGGTGTGATTGGATCTCCACTATGTTCCATATGTAAAATGGTCTGGAGAGCCTACGACAAATTTGAAACATAAGACATAGAGCTGGTGGGAATCCAAATTCAGAATATGTTCTGCGCCAGGGGTGTGCAAAGAGCATAAACAGAGCATCTGCTCTAGTCAGCAATGTTTGAGCTTCCCTTTGAAAACAAATGCTTTCGTGTAGGTGTGAAAAACTTTTCCTCCTTTCTCCTCAAAGTGCGCAGTTGCTAGAAATGTATCTTCATTTATTAGCACTTCATCGCTTTCAAAAGCAGCTTTTGAAAAATCCTTCAGTTTCTGAGATAAGAAGGGTCATTTGGTTTTAAAATGTTTTCTGATCCCTTCATGAACCTGGTTAGTGTAATCAAGCTGTTAAACTGAATTCATCCTTGTCTTCATAGGAGTTATAGTCTTAAAGAAAAGTTTTTGAAAGCTTATGAAACTGCCGGTTTGTGTGGTCTTACAAGTGTTCACACAGGGTGCCTAGTTCTCCACATTGTTTCAATGGGTGTATTGGTTTATAACTGTGTACTGTAGATTTCCAGCTCGGATCAGTTCAGTAACTTTATTCACATCAAAGGAAACCCTTGATTCCCAATAAACACTTGTATGTATCATTGCTTTACTGCCAGTCTGCGATCATAACTGGAACTCTCTTCCCTTACTTATTCTCATGCAAACATTTTTTATTATCCACATCTAGTAAGAATTCTCAGAATTTTCTGTGGTTACTCTGCCGTGGGTTTTTGTTGTTTTTTTTTTTTTTGTGGTTGTTGTGTTTTTTTTCTGAAGATTTTGCAGGCAAGCAGGGTGGATGAAGGCCAAAAGCTCTTTGTGCTTTACTGAGAGCTTATCCACAAAAATCTGTTGAAAGGAAGAGAAGATAGAAATAATAGATTGTGATAATAAAACAGTACAGATGAAATTCAGATAGTGTAAAAGATCAAGTCCCTGCCTGCTCCATGCTGTTTCCCAAGAGCTTCCCTTGAGCCATCCAGCAAAGAATTGGAGAGGATTAATGAGGTGTGTCTAATTATAAAGGTGATATCTGTTCTGGACTGCCCAGAGCTGTTTTGGGGGTTTAAAGATATTATTTTTTAAATTTTCCTTTTAGAGACAGGGAATCAGATGGGAGGGAAAGAATATAAAAGAGTAGTTCAGTTGGAAGAGGCCCTTGAAGATCCTCTAGTCCAGATAAAGAGGAGGAAGAAAATGCTGGCTGCTTGGAAAAAAAAAAAAAAAAAAAAAAGAGGAATCTCCTATTTGCTTTGTGGAAGTCCTTTCTACATGCACTTCTGTGCATGTGACTTCCCACAGAACTATGTTATTGTGCCACTTCTCAATCTCTGAGCCTGAAAGCAGGTTAGTAACGGTCCACCTCTGCAATAAAAATCTACATATCTTTCTGGGCTGTCACTGTACTAAATAACAAAAAATTTGCAAGGGCCCATTTGGGAAAAAAGAAAAGAAAGTCAATTAAAACCTTTTCCTTCCCAGCCTCCTTTGCCAGATTTGAAAAATGAAAGTTGCAGGGTTGTAGAAACCTCAAGAATGAAATTCACAGTTGCAGCATAAGGAATGAAATTAAATATTCAGTCTTTGGTACAGCCTTCAAGATTGTGGATCTCTGCATAAGGACTGTAAGTTTTCACAATACACTTTCTTTCTTTAGGTACATATATCCATGATCCCTAAGAAGTTCTTGTACCCTAGTAGCCCACAGGTGAGAGTGAAATTGCTAAAAATGTCTCTTAGGGAAAACGCTGCTCAGAAGCCTGGAGTCATGTTTCCAGCTATGAAGTAACATTTCTCTATGCATTAACCCTTAGAGAGGCCCCCACTCCCCTAAGGATTGAGCTGCAGTCTGAGGTGAGAATGACAAACCTCTGCTCCCAGAATGTCACGTCCCTTAGAACAGGAGCAATGTTGAGGAACCTGTCAAGACTTGGTATGCACATGGAGGGCAAAAGTTAAATAAAGATGTTTACATAAACAGGAAAAAAGGTTCTTCTATCCACACAATAGTCATTTATTTGTATATGCTGACAGGATAAAGCTGCTAAACCACTGTTCTTGCTTCACCCAGGGAAGTTTTTATAACATACCTTTGGTTTTTTGGCTTCCCAGCCCTTAGTCATGCTTCCACTGGCCTTTTAGACAGGCCTGGAACAGCCTCATCTCCTCTCAGTCTTGAGCTTGGCTCAGCCTGACTTCAGATCCTGACTCCCAGCCAGGGATAGCTCAGCTTTCACAGCTGGACATGGCTTTGTGCTCCAGTGCCCACAGCGCTGGCTGTGCTTTTCCAGTCAGAGCACAAGCATTTTGTGGTGAATTCAGGGAATTTTATTTTTTAAGTGATGCAGGATTACCTTGTTTGTAGGAGCTTCCTGCTCTGGAGATCTCACAGCCTGTCTTCTGGAATTTCATATAAACCAGCTAAGCTGTAAAACATGCAATTTTTTCCCTGTAGTTGATCTTCCCAAGCAGCCTTCTACTTAGGTAGTCTATGCTACTCCAACCCACCCTTGCCTTTTGCCCCTGCCTGATATTTCAAGCTGCCAGTAACAATTCCGTCTGAATTGCATGCAAAGAGCACGTCCCAGCCCTCTCAAATGCTTTGGGAGAGGATCTCTTAAAGCTGGTGGAGCTGCATCATCTCTGCAGGACTCTGGAAGACGGCAGTCCTGCAGCTGATCCAGCCCAGCCTGCATGCAGCTGGCCTCCAGGTTGAGCAAGGCTGGGTGGGAGTGTTGCCGGAGCAGAGCCCTGCCTGTTGTACCATGTCCTCTCTGTTGCACTGCTGCTTGGGTGCATCTGCCTATGCCATGGGTCTTTGTTCTAAAATGCTTTGGGATTATTTCCTGACCAATTTTGTATATCCTTCAGGGGGCAGTTGTGCAAGGGCACTTGAGCAGATCCAACAGCAGTTGTGTGCAGTTTTACACCCAGGTTTAGGGTAACATCTCTACCCTTTCCCACAGATGTGTTGGCTAGACAAGGTTTAAAGCAGCAAACATGAAGCAGGGGTTCTTCCATGTGAAAGTTCAGGAAGTTTAGCCTATACCCAGTGCTGGGGAAGTCTGAATGAATCTGGGAAGACACCCAAGAAGATGACTGACCAGCAGATAAATGATACTTGCTATTGCTTATTTTGCTTTGTTGCTATAATTCCCCTCTGTCCATTTATTTCAGCCTCACTGATGACAACATGATGACTTAATGATCATGTCTGAGGCAGGAAATGTCTCAGATATCCACATCTCCACAGGTACCAAACATACTGGGATCCTAATCAGAGAGTAAGTCTTCAGTGATGCTCAGAATTAATAATATGGACTTCTGTTGTAAGAGAAGTGATCAGGAGAGCAGGAGGACTTCTTATCTCTGTTCTCCACCACTGGGGCATGCTCTGCTGCTAATTTAATTATTACGAAAACTATGACATTTAACAAATTGAATTGGCTGTTCCAGTTTTTTCAGTCCCTGTTTGCCATTGGTATCTGCCTTGCACAAATAAGCATAAAGCTAGCAGGTGCCTCTGCATAGGTCCTTACTGCTTCGTGTGGCATGTAAATTTGCACCTGTCATGAACTGAAATGATGAGGATCTTGCAGATAGATTGCAAGACCATTTCACAACTATATCATAACTAACTGTTCTCTGGGATAAACAGGAATCCTGTGGAAATCATTCTGGATTACGACATTACAGTTTTCTGGGGATCAGCTCTCACACTTTCTTGCAACACTGCACTTTTGTAATGGTAGATAATCCAGTAGTGCTATTACAGCTGGGGACCCTGTGGCTGCTCTCATGACACCAAATGGTTGGTCTGAGCCAAAACTCTATTGGAAGGATGAATATTTGTGTCCCTATTTCTTAAATGTATCAGCAGAGGTCAACCATCTTACCCATCCTGTGTAACAATGGTAGTGCATGACAGAAACGTTTTTCTACAGAACTGAGAGACTGCTTAGACAGAGTCCTGCCCTGTCATTTCTCTCCTCTATGCTCTTAAACCTTGGCTAAATAACTGCATCTATCTTATTTTTAGTACCATGCTCCTCTGCAATTCATCTCCAAGCATTTTGCAAAGGCTTTTTATCCTCATTTCAAGAGGTGAGTCAGCCAAAACCCAGTGGTGTACTATGATAACGACAAAGCAAGGAGTAATACCTAGACCCTGGGAAATGACTGGTGGCTTTCCTACAGATTTACTGTGATTGTAGCCACATCTTATAAACTTTACTAACATCTCTCCAGAACATGGTATGTGGTCTGCTAATAACCTTAGGAATTCTCCACCTTCTTACCAGTGTACAAAGATCAACTTTGTTCCTTCTGACTAGTGCCCAAACTACTGAAGTGAAGCACATGTATGATTTTAATAGGGTTGGGGTCCCCTGCTGTTAAAACACACACAGTTCTTTTACAGTCAGCATAATAAGTTTTTCCTCCCATTTTCCAGAATGGTAAAAAGAGAAAGTGTATTTCTGTTTGTGGTTTTGGTGTTGTACAGCCCACAACTATTGGGTCTCTCCTCCAGTGCCCATGCAGGGTAGACCCTCATGCATTTAAATAATTGATTTGTATGCAGCTAATAGGTAGCATGATAGATATGGATGTAAAAGGCTGAATAACAGATGGCTTTGAGTAAGATGGGGCTCTAAAGGGCACAATTCAACATTTTCTTCTCCAGGAGCAATACCACATCCTGTTTACAGATTATCTATGTTTATCTGGCCAGACACAGATGCTATAAATCATTTGCTCCAAATGGAGTCAGGGCAGGAATTTTACTCATCCCCTGGTGGTGCTTGTTTTGTGAGCTTTGGCTTTTAGGGTATGGTTAAAAGAAAACCAAAAGGACAGATGTTCTCTGGGGTTTTTAAAACTGCTTATTTAAATTTGAATTTAAATGTAATCCCCTCTTTTTAGTGCTGCTTGTTTGTGATCTTAAATGTGTTAGACATATTGAAAACTAAAGTTAATATAACATTTTATTCCTGTAAGGGCAGTGTGATTCCAAGGGCCTCGAAGCAGATAACAAGTATAGACTGTGACAGTCTGGGACTAGAGAGAGAATTTGCATCATCTGAACTGTTATCTAATCAGAGATTCCCCTCACCCACAAACCTGAATGAAAAAAATGTAATGCATACATGAGATGTTAATTATATTCCTTTGTGCCCTGGAAGCTACTCAGTCTCCTGGGAAGTGTACCTGGCAGAGGTGTTAGCTGAGTCACTGGAAGCTGCCGAGGGGAAGAACCACTACTGTAGTAAGTTTTCTTGTTTTACCTTTATCGCAGCGCAGTCAAGATGATCAGTAAATGACTGAGCAAATGGAATGTTTTGCCGTGAAAGACAAAAAAAGAAATAATGATTTCCAGAAGAATGCTTCTTGGTGGGCATGGGCTGCCAGGTGCAGAGAGCATTCCCCTACATCACCTTGTTTGATTTATCAGGGTCTCATAAGTGATAGATATGCAGAAAAGTGTTACTTTGACTGTTCATTCCACCTACTTCTGCATTGTCCTCATCTCAGTCTTTTCCTTGCAAACTCCTGGACAATAATTATGACTAGTAATTGATCTTCTCACTACATATTCACAATTTATCTATGACTGAGTTATACTCACCAATACCTTACTGAAGCCTACAAAAGATTGATTCATACAGAAATGAGGCATTCTTCCTTAGGAAAAACACCAAAAAGAACAAAAACTAGGAAATCCGAGTTCTGGTGCTCAATCTGGTGTAACTGTGAAGTTACATAACTATGAAAACATGTCGGTGTTTTACTCTTGCTGTGTCAGTTTTAGTCAGATAGGGAGATGTTGCTTTGGGTTTGTTGGTTGGTTTTTGTTTTTTGTGTTGTTGTTTTTTTGTTGTTTTTGTTTTGTTTTTATTTTTTTGACCAAAACTTTTGCTGTCTTATTAATTTGAATATGTAGGTAAAAGGTTTCTTTCCAAGGATATCAAAATCAAACCTTATTAAGGATGGATTTCTTCTTTGGTGGTTCTACTCTGTAGTGTATTATGGGGTTTTTCTACAGATCTTAATGGAAGTCTCTGCAAACAACCAAGCGGTATGAAATGAATCGAAATGCAGAAGGAAAAACACACATATGTTTCTTTTAAATACAGTTCATTTCAGGTCTCCCTTGTGTTTGTAAACTTTTGGTCCCTACCTGTTGAAGGCATCCCACTTTGCAAATCACTTTAAAAGAGAAAATACATTTTAGCAATTCAGTAGGTGGCTAAGAAGTTTTCAAAATCAATGTAATGTGTTTTTCTTATGTATTTTCACAGTAGCTCATTTAACATTTAATCTCCTCCATTCCATATATTCCAGTTGTAGGCTGCATTTTGTGTATATTGCTACTTTTCATTGGCAAGATGAAATCATTATTTTTTCTAAATAAAATACTCAAAGACTTTTACTTTCCCAGCCTTTCATCCTTACTGCTTTCCAAAATGGATAGTATAATACAGCTTTCCTTTAATCTGTCTCTACACTAATTTTAATCGTTTTGGGAAGAAGAAATTCCATCACGTGTGGCCAAGAACGTATACACTATTATGTTTTTCAACTAAAATCTAAAACACAAGTGTTCTGTCCAGCAAAGAAGGTATATGTGCAAGTATTTCCATAAATTAACTCTTCTAAGCAGAATTTATGTTTGCTTTTTAGTTTCACATTTGATCAAAGTCTAGCTGGTTTATACCCCATTTAATCAACTTTATAAAAGCCCGTTTCTCGTTGATGAAAATATCGTGCAATTTAAACCATTATTAGCCAAGGTGAGTTTTAAAGGGACAGTTCACTCTGGTAAGCACCCACGTGCATGTGTCAGTAGGATGGGGCCAAATATATACTTTCTGGTTATAGGTAAATATTTCATTTTAATACTAGAATGCTTTCCATTTCTTTAAGGGGAGGGGAGGGGAGTTAATGTTGCATCTACCACTGCCTGTATAAAAAGAGATTTAAAAAAATGAAAATGTTCTGTTTTACTCAGCAAAATCCTTTCTTCAGCCAGTATACTCTTCATAAAATGGAGCGTGTAATTTTAAAGATTACTTTATTTAAGTTTTCAAAACATTTTATTACTCTCCTCTAAATGGAGTAATATAGCTCCACATGGAATGTAATTGAGAGAAAAAAAATGTAATGCTCCTCCCTGGGAGGTATTTAAGAGGTAATGTATCTTTAAGTGTCTCCGCCTCTGAATCCACCCACTTCTTGATAGCTGCAGCAGTCTTGTTGACTCATAAAAGCTGTGTTCATACAATAGCCAGCAATGAGCAGTATTTTTCAGAGATTTTAAGAGCACACCTCCTGCTATGTATTTCGCATTCTAGTTTGCTGGGGCTGAAGGTGTATGAAAGAAACAGTTTTAAGTTTCTTAGATATTGCAAAAGATAGTTCCTCCTCTCATCCTGGAAAATCCTGACAGACCAGTTGGATACCTTTCAGGCCTTAACTAAGAAGTTTATCTGCTCATCCCACTGTCTTTTTTACTGTAGAAAGACCTGAGACACCCTTACGAACTGAGAATCTGACTAATTTAAACAGATGGCTAATCCCAGTGCTGTCTGCAATGGACATCTACATCATCATCATCACCAGAAACAGAATAACCTCTTAAAAAGTGGAGTCTGTAAGAAAAATGGAATTACCAAAGGAATGAAGGTAAGGCTTAATTGTTTACCACAATTGTCTCAATAGTGAAAACAAATAGTTGCAACATTGCTTATTAAGCTAGTTTTACGAAGGTCTCAGTCTTCATTGAACAGGTGGTATGGCACTGGCTTGTGTGTTAAGTTTTATAATCTCAGAATGTGCTGCTGCATTGTTTTCTGTCATCCTAAACTGCAGTAAGAGTTGTGGATGCTCGCGAACATACTGTTTCTGTACTAACGAGGCTCTAGTTCATATCAAGCTCAGCAAACGCATGCACCTTGAAGGACAGTAGTTTCCTTTTAAAGCTTAACCAACTGTGGAGTTGACTCTGTGTTGTATGAATCACTGGTGGAAAGCAGTTTTATCAACCTGAAGTGTGTGTGGAGTGAGTTTCAATGTATGATTTATTGCTGTACAAACATAACAACAACAACAAAATGTAGGCAGGAGAAGCTGTCTTTTCCTAATGCTTACATTAGTGCAAGGTTGGCTTGATACCTACTTCACTGATGCCTGCTTTCCAACCTCGAACAGCTTAAAATCCACGTCAGTTTACTTACCATTTTCTCGAGCTGTTCTCTGTCAAACCAACACTTCTCATTTATGTGAACATTTTGTAAAGTAGTTGAAGTGCAGCATGCCAAAGAACAAACCACAAAACCAAAGGTGTTCTTTTGCCAGAAGAGACAAAGTCTTAAATGTTGTCTGTCTGCAATACCTGTTCTGCTTGGGAACGTACTGTCTGTCTTAAAGTATCCTAATTCTGGATCTTAGTGTGGTCATTAGTGAAGCCTCTTGTAGTGACTAGGAGAAGGCTGGCTTTACAGCATGGTGCCATGGTGAGAGGGGGATGGAGAAGTTGCTTCAGGAGCCTGAGCTCTCACCTGACTGTGTCTCTTTGGAGCCTGTTGAAAGCTTTAGACAAGCGTGGCAAGGGCTCCACTGCTTTACAAGTAAACTGCTATCTTAAATCTTTTTTAAATGGAGCTGTCATGCACCTAGCACTCTAATGAAGGCACGCCCAGTGTCAAGCTTAATGATTGTCTGGCTTTAGGTGTCTCCCTTGGTATGGGTGTTTCCTGATCGCTGGCTTGCGTAGGATGAGGAGAGCACAAAAGCTTGTGCAATGACTGAAAAGGCCTTTCCTGAGATTTGCTTCCAGAAACCTAATTTAGCATCCTTTAATATATTACATGTATTTCCTCATCATTTTATATATGAACTATTTGCCACTATGGTATCTGAAATCTTTTCTTTTGGATTGAATAGCAAATTTCAAGGACTAAACCTTGCCACTTGTTCGTTGCTAACTTGCTACAAATGAGCAGTTTTCAAGCAGTAAGCTCCCAGGAGAGTATTAATTAGAATTTCCTTTCTAAATCAGAAAGATATGGCCAGAGAAGTGAAGTAGAATATTACTAAAGGTACGCAAAAGGGTAGCAAAGGCTGGGCTGAAAGGGATGGTAAAGAAATGAAGTGTTAGTAGAGATAGCGCCCATAGCACTTCACTAATCCAGCAGCTATGCAGTTGGAGGAGAAAGGGAGAGAAGTACTGAACCATTGGTAAATGCTTTTTGTGGCTGAGGAAGAGTTGAGGATGTAAAGCCTTAGAAAGTTCAGGAGGGTTATCAAAGGCACATTTGGGAAATCCGGGTCTGGCACTGTGTTATGAATTACATGCCATTTCCCCTGTCTTCCTGCTTCAAATGCAGGTTGAGAAAGAAGGAAACAATAACAGACAAGAGCTCTGTACGAAACAGGAATCTCATTCCCGGTCGGAATCTCCCCATTCCTGTCTGGTCTGTTTCCCCACCCCAGCTGCCTCACCCTGTACAGTACTTATGCTTTATCCTATTTTGCAGGAATAGATATTGTTCCTTTCTACCTGGTCTGTTTACATGGCTTACTGCTGTAGGTGTGCAACATCACCCAGTCTTATACTCACAACACCTTGCTGAGGTGTGCTCCCACCTTTTACAGCTGGGATCTGAAGAGCAAGGAAAATGGCAGCTGGGTGCACAAGGAAGCCTGTGCAGGAACCAGACACAAGTTCAGCATGATTCCAGTCATCATCCTTTTCTCCTCTTTTGTCCTTTTCTCCATATTGCCCTGATGTCCCTAATATTGTGTCATGTGCTCACATGCATGTATATATCAGTGGTCTCTTCAGCAGATTGATTCATAATTAAGCACCTACATAGGAGAGGAAATAGTGCTAGAATGTTCAGGATGTGGCTGATGATACTGCTTCTAGCACCTGAGACTCGTGGCAGTTCTGAGGTCTTGAGCTTTATAACAGCTGTGTTACTTGCAAGGACAGAGCGATGCTCTGGTTTGAGAGAGAGAGCTGATGTTGCTGAGGCTGCAGTAAGGGCACAGCACGGTGAAGGTTTCTAAGCCAGGAATATGTAGCAATATCTGCACACAATTGGCTGACTGGAACATCAGGCTTTGCAAAACTCAGCTCCATAAACCTCTTTTCTAAGGAGCCCACAGGAAGCACTGCCTTTGAAAACACTGGTTCAGGAACAACGTATTTTGCATCTTTGTGATGTAAGAACATTTGTGCGTGTGTGTGCGTGACAAGAGAGAGAGAAACAGTTCTAATAAAGCAAAGCCTCCTGTTTTCTGAACTAAAGATTTTGTTTAACGGGTTGGGGAGGGTAATTAGGGATGATCAAATGCAGGGGAGCAGGAAGGGAGGCTCTCTTCACTTCTAGCAGTCTGTGGCACACCAAGGGCAGGAAAGGAGGTAGCTAAGCAATAAAGAAGCAGTGAAGCATCCTGCCAGAAGAGCTGCTGTTGCTTCTGGCAAAGAGATATGCTTTGCCATGGTGGAGAGGGGACTGTTCATTTGAATAGCTTCTGTGATTATTTGAAGTCGAACTCTCTTGGAAGCTGGGCCACAGTTAGACCTTAGATTTGGGAGGTGGGTCATGGGCCATCTCTTCCATTTAATTACTGCTTGTAACATAGGCATATGCTTCATATTCTTCCAGAACTTAAAACCTGGACTGATCTTCATGTAAGGCACATTTCAATAGTTAACCTATTTTGTTATCTAACTGCAGTAGACAGGAGAAGGTATTTTCCTAGCTGTGGTTTCTTTTGCTATGTACTGCCGCTGGTTGGGTGTCAGCTGTAGGGGACATTGTATTTTAAAACAATAGGTGTTTTTCCGATGGGAACAGTATTTTTCCTATGGTAAACATTCAACAATTTTATTTCTTTGATGGATCGCTTCATTGGATGCCTTAGAAAGCCTCCAAGACAATATCAATCTATTCATGAATTCATTTTTTCTTGCCTACACTATAATGGCAGTAGCTTGGAAGATACTTGCAGTGAACAGACTACAGCCTTTTCCAGGAGTTCCAAACTCTTTTCTGAAAAAGAAAAGAACATGGAAGGATACCAGACCCAGTAACCTCTGTCTTGCTTTTTTGATGGTCAGAAGACATGACGACCTCTGGCATTGGGGGCCCTAAAATTCAGAAGCTGATTGTATTTGCCTTCTGTCCTCCAACATCTGGTCCTCCTCCTAACCTTTCTACTCTGCTATTGATTCAATACTCCAGCAGCCATCTTCCATCCCTTCCATGCTTTTTCTTCCCCTGCTTTTCTTCCTCTCTTTTCTGCACTACAGCATCACTGCCAAATGAAGATTTTAAAGAAAACATTTTAAAAAAAAAAAAAAGTTATGAAAAGAATATGCCATGCAGCTGTTCTCACTGGATTCATTTTCTTGTATGTTGTAAATGCCTTCTCGAATTGCTTTGTGCTGTGTTTTCTCACACATTTACTTCATGTGCTTTTGCAGTAATTAGTGTAACTGGGGCATTCTGGATGCAAGCTCAATATAAATGTTAATGAGTCCTGTGGGGAAAAAAAATAAGCTAATTCCTGCAATTAGGGTGATGTGATAAGGCTATTAATAAGAGAAGAGAACGGAGGGAGGGCTTAAGGCTGATCAGACTACAGTTTTCCAAGTTTGTAACCTCATCTGTGCAACAGTAATGATCATAATAACATTTTTTTTCCTCCAAAATATCTTTTGTTGTTGTTGCTTTTTATAAAAAAAAAAAAGTGAAAACTGACATTGTTGGCCCCAGCATGGTTCATTTCCAACACCTAAGCCTTTTGGACCTGTTCAATTATGCGTGTTTTAGTGGAAAGTGGAATACCCATATGAGTTTTATAGCTGTAGTGACAGCAGGAAAGTATTAAGAGTTGGTTTCCAGTCTGCATTCCCTACCAATTACTTTACCTGTTGCTTCAGCTGCAGCATAGACATGATCTCCTCATCCTCAGTTCCTGCCTTCTTCTCTCCTCAGTTTCGGGCCCCGGAAATTTGTTGCTTTGTACCAGCACTCTCAACTATTAATCACAGGTCTCAGATCCACACCCTTGTTTCTGTCATTTGCCCTGCTATGTGATGAGCTCAATGCATTGGAAGCAGGAAATGTCGAAGGCTACCTTCAGCAAACCGAGATGTGACTAGAGTGTGGGCACATATAACAGTCAAGGACTCATGTAGCAATGCTTAAAGTATGTTGCATGAGATTTTACATACAAGACTGGAGATTGTTTGCATAGTACACTAAGTTTGCAGTAACGCTGTAGTCCCACTCCTGGGACTACAATGGCTGGAAATCTCTAAATTCAAGTAATTAATTTTTGGTGGTCATTGGGAATAGCAAGCATGGATTTACCAAAGGTAAATGATGTTTGACTGACTGTCTTCTATGATGAAGTGACTAGCCAAAACAGCATGTAAATATTTGCTTTGGATTGACAGGCCTAGCAAACAGAAAAGCAGATGATAATTCAGTGGGACAAAGGAACTCAAGAAAGATGTCGGGTGTTTCAGTACAACCTCCTCCTAGCACAAGAACAGTTCATCGCTGTATTCGTGAAAACAAGTTAAAACATTAGGAGGCTGGCTTAGTTAACCAGGTAACCCATGATTGACCTCCAGTGCAGCCAGGCAGTATAATAAGAGGTGGAAA